CATGAACGGCTAAAGATTTTTCTGCTCGTGTAGCTCGCTGAGCAGTGCTGGTATGAGCTTGTAGCGTTGGAAACGGTCGTATTTTTGTACTAACGCCTTAGCATCTTGGTGCGTGGTAGGCCAGCAGGAGCCTGCGTTAAGAGCTTTTTGTGCTAAGGATTAACCTCCGGAATGATTTCCACAAACGCACTCGTGGATTGAGCTTAGAACCTTCAAGTCATCGAGAGGCGCTAGGCAGTGGAGATGTGGTCCGGTGTAGGATTTTCGGATGAGAATGTTGTTCCACATGTAGTAGCGTGCTGCGTTGATTTGGAGCTTCCTAGACTCCAATCTTTCCGTGGGGAATGTGCCATTGACCATGTAGTTTACAATGGAATCTTGTCAGTTTGGAGTGGTACTAACCTGTGACACCTCAGCTACTGGCTTCGCCTTTATGCTTGGCTCGTCTAGATGCTCCACCAGAATAGAGCGTTTAAGTTTATGGTCGAGGGCGGAGCCTAGGCCGGCTAGTGATTAGCTGGGAATCGGAATGAATTGCGAGCTTTTCACCGCTAAGTTTTTTTCCATTCGAAGGCTTGCTAGTAGGGTCTCGTTCTCTGCTTTGTTATTAGATGTTTTAAAGCCTAGAGTGATTTCTTGTTTGGGTATTGAATCATCTGGGGTGACAAGGACTACGCCTGCTTTCGGACCTTTGTAGTTGGACGCGTCGTCGGCATGTAAATGCCAAAAGTCTCCATCGGGTGGAACAGGCACGGCTAAGGTGTCCTCGGCTACCTCCGGGGCGTCGTTGGGCCACTCTGTTACGTCGTGAATGCGTGGTAGGGAATCGTGGAGCTGGGGCGATGTTACACGTAATAAGAAATGCTCAACTACCAGTATTGGACCATTCTAGAGCTAAATTATGGAGCAAGGGTCGGCTAGGGCCGTGTGACACGCAGCATAAGGTGGTGCTCAACTGCCGGTTGCTCATATGTAGAATCTTTTGGGGCGACGAGGACAAAACTTGATTTCGAGTGTGTCTTTCCGGTGTTCGTCTGCCCTTGGCGTTTCTTTTGGGCCAAGTTATTGCGTTCGTTAGAAAATTTTGCACCGGCCAGTGTCTACGCCTTTATCGTCGTGCTTCTGGATTAAGCGAAATAGTGTGTCATAAGGATGACTGCGTGAGTCTGAAGGTAAAACCTGAGCTTCCGGGTTGCAACAACTATCACCAAAGTTAGCTTTTAAATTTCTGGTAACATCGAGGATACCTTTTGAACTGTGGAATACAGGTAGTCAAGCCCTCAACTCTTTTCGTATGATGGTAGAGCTTATTATTGCTTCAGATACCGTCAAACATATGAATAAATCCTCCACTGCTTCTGGTTTGGATAGTAAGGAGGTGATGTTGGGTACTTCTTAAAGTCCTTGAATGTGCATTGGCGAGCCTCGTCCCAAAGTGTATGCTTCTCTGCCAGAGCGAAAGAGTCTACCAAAGTTAGATCTTCTTTCATGATCAATTTTCCAAATAGCGGGTGGTTTGCTAGAAATCCTTTTTGGAAGGCTACTCTAGTTATCGAGTCGTTGCATTCGACTATCCTTGCCTTCTTTGCTTTGAACCTCTTCACATAGTCACAAAGTGACTCTTTTAGGTTCTTCTTAACGTTGAACAAATGGTCGAACTTCTTTTTGATCGAGCGATAGGATGAACATTCTTTGGTGAAAACCAAAGAAAGTTCATCGAAACTCCGGATAGATTGTGGCAGCAAGGTGTAGAACCAATCTTGCACCTCACCTTGTAGAGTGGTGGCGAATATATTACACATGAGATCATCGTTGGTTTGATAGAAGATCATTGCGCTTCAGTAGTGCTTTAAGTGTTTCTCCGGGTTTTCATCCCATTTGAAAGATGTGAAATGTGGCATGCCAAACTTGCGTGGAGGCTCTGCCTACTCGATCTCGTCCGTGAAGGGTAACCTGCTTATGTTGGTCATGTTTCGTCGTAATGCCTCATCGGCGACCTCGTTGTATTGGAAATTACGCAATTGCTTGGTCAAGAGTCTCTCTACTTCTTCCTGAATTTGCCTTTGTTGGGGGTAGAGAAGTTATCGACTGCCCCTAGCCGTGACTTGCTGGTCTAAACTGCTCTTCCATGTGTTTGGTTCGTCTATGTCGTGGATACAGTGCGTGTAGTGCATTCCTAGCAGGCGAGGGAGTTCTTCATAGGTTGCCGGTTAAACTTGAGCAGAATTGAGTGACTACTTCTCTATATCCATCGTGCTACCTACTCCGATGTGAGGTAGAGGATGCTCTTTGCGGGCTTAGCCGGGAATGAACATTTTGCTTGAAAGGTTGCTTATGTTGACTATCGGAGTGTGACCCCAATCGTGAATGTACGCTTATCCGTGAGCCTAGTCGAGAGTGCACGCTTCTCTTCGTGCTAAAACAGGAGTATACGCTATCTCGGGGACCCAATCCGAAGTGTACAATGCCCGAACGCTCGGTTCATAGCTGGTCAATCGTCGGTCCGAAAATTTGAAGCCAAGATGGTTAAACTAATTTTGGATCAATTTGGGCTGCTTGGAAGGCCACGGGAGCAGACTGGGCCGCATGAGCAGGCTGGGCCACGAGAGTGGGCTACTCGACGGGTGACGCACGTGGGTGCGAGGCTAGGGCTCGGCTTGGCAACCCGTTGGGCTCACGTTGGCCTTAGAGTAACATGGCTAAAGTCGTGGCTTTGGTGCCATGGGCCTTGGATGGCGGCACGGCTCGGGCCATGGTGGTGACACCATGGACCTTGCCCCAGGTGGCCACCGCGATGGTTCTCGTGGTGGTGATGCCGCTCCACTTATTGTCACATTTAGCCTCATGGATCGTAATGGTCCCATCTCTTGAATATTGAAATTTTCACTTGTTGAATTTTCTAAATTTCTTGCAAATAAAAAATTCTAATAATAAAAACGTACGAAAAATCTACAAATGGACAAGAAAATAGAAAAACCTTGGACGCGAAAGTCTTCTACGAGTGTGGGACTCAACTCTCAATGAAAGCCCCAATTTGTGGATGCAAATTCCTTCCTCCTTGATTTTGGACAAAATTGCACCTACAAAACAAATAACACCCCATGACTATTCCAGAGGTGATTTCACGATCTTATATATGACTAATCGAAAAGACTCCTTGATATGACTTTCCCTTTATTCGGGCGGACTCCCATGATTCCTTTCCCAGTGAGCCCACGATGATTTTTTAGGGGGGGGGGAGACGCTTTGGCCAAAGAACCTCTGATGCCAAAGTTAGAATTTTGAGAGAAAAGTGTTTGGGAAAATTTTTAGTGTTTAGCAAGAGTCAAGACCTAGGTTTTTAAAGGAAATGAGGTTGAATATATAGTGCATGGCCGGTCCCTTTGGGAGAGAAGGTGACTGGCCTTTTGTGTATTTTTTGGGTGTAATTGGTGGTTTACTTGGCCATTAATAGATTAATTAGGTAATAAATCCATTAATTAGCCAATTAACATAATTTAAAAGAAATGTTTTGGGGGTTACCTTGTGGAGAGGACTTGATGAGGATGGATGAAATATGTTTAAAAATAAATACCTATTTGGGCACTTTTGACTTGATTGTTGGATGTATGTCCACTACTCGCGCATAGGAATTTCAGTGCTCCTCAAGGGTAATTTTATATTTTTTGCCCAAAAATCTACGTGTCGCCTCTTGATTATTTTTGGCTCCATACTTTTTTTATTTTTCTTTTTATACCACTTTTTTTAGTGTGGGGAAGATTTTAACTTTATATTTCTGTTTGGTAATTTGATGGTTCTGATGGTATTTTGGAAATTATAAAAATTTCATGTCCTGATGATTAAATGAAAGTTTTTTTTAGGGTATTTGGTTTGTTTTCCTAAGTTTTTATTGCACTTTGTTTTTTATATTCAAGGGGTATTTTAATTACTTTGATTTACATAAGGCTTTTTAGCCAAAATGGTCCTTGAGATTTGCATAACTCCTCACTTTGGTTCCTGAGATTTCAAATCAATAGAAGTGGTCTTTGAGATTGTCCACCATCCATCATTTTGGTCCTTCCGTTAAAAACTTCTTTAAGTGTCCCGAAGCTCTTGGCCGGAAGTTTTGGCAATTTTCAAAGGTTCGTAATTCAATCGTTTGTTAAGCAAATTCGACCCATAATATATCAAAATGAAGATAGGAAAGTGTAGAATAAGATTATACCTATTTGGAAGCCCAATGGTTGCCGGAGATGGTCAGAAAATAGCCTCAAAGTTGACTGGTCCGAGGGAAAACTGGAAAACTCGCCAGAAACTGGGTAAACTTTAAATGTTCATAACTTCTTCAATATTCAATGAAATCAAGTGATTCAAATACGAAAATCATACTTCTCAACGAGATGAAGATAATGGTACCCTTTTCAATGGCTAACTCACCGTGGTTTGGCCGGAAAATGGCTCGAAAGTGGTTGTCTTGGTCCCAAGTTAGCCACTTTCGAGCCGTTTTTGGGCCAAAACACAGCGAGTTAGCCGTAAAAAGGTACCATTCTCTTCGTCTCGTCAAGAAGTATGATTTTCGTTTTTGAATCACTTAATTTCGTTGAGTATTGAAGAAATTATGAGTGTTTAAAGTTAAACTAGTTTCCGGCGAGTTTTCCCTCGGACCAGTCAACTTTGAGGCTGTTTTCCGACCATCTCCGGCAACCATTGGACTTCCAAATAGGTATAATCTTATTCTACACTTTCCTATCTTCATTTTGTAATATTATGGGTCGAATTTGGTTAAAAAAGATTGAGTCACAAAGCTTTAAAAATTGCCTAAACTTCCAACCAAGAGCTCCGAGACATTTAACGGAATTTTTAACACTCATAATTTCAGGGGCCACTTCTATTGATTTGAAATCTCAGAGACCATTTTGGCTAAAAAGCCAAAAAAAATATTATAAATTGAATAATTTGATAACTTGTTGCTCCACCAACTATTATAAAACACAAGTAGCAGAAGCAATGCGAAAAGGAAGTGAAGGATGCCTTTCAGTATATAAATTTATATTTGTACGAATCAGTGTGATGACAAAAAATACAATGCAAATATGAAAATTCTCAACCAAGATATTTGCGTCTATAAATAGTGTTACATATTACAGATTTCTGCTTAAGCATTTATTCTCAAACATAGAATTACAAATGGCATTTAACTTTTCTTTCTTGTTCGAAAAATGGCATATAACCGGAAATTCATGGGGATGGTTCGAACTCAAGGGTTCAGGAAGAGAGCAGTGCACTGCTTGATTGTATCTTCAGGGCTCGTAACTGCAAAAGGGTCGAGCATCAGATATACATATTCCATAAATATGTCCGAAATATGGCCATAAGTAACTTTAAACCTGAGACGAGAGCTTACCTGTATGACCTACGGTTCTTTCAGATTCATAGATTTCATGGTCATTTCCACCCTGCGGAAAAGGATATTCACAAGTCTTAGGGCCCGAATATGAGAAGGTTGAAATGTAAAACAGAAAACTTCATCGAATACAATAAACGTAAAACATAAAACATGAACAGACTACTACTCATGAATTCATAGAAAAGGAAGTTGTAGGACGAAGAGGGTTAAGCCATCAAATTATGGACAAACCTTGTAAGTTTTGTCACCAAAGAAATGGATTTCTTGAAAATCATCTAGGTATCTCAAGCAGTATGTCTTGTCCCAACCTTGCGGGAAAACCTGGTTCAAGCAGTGTAAACCATCGGCGTTCAATTTCAAAAGTCCTAGTCACCTTTTACTCGACTATTCCGAGAATGGGCAGGCAAAATCTAAATAAATGTAATAGGCATTAAAGCAAACATGAATATCAACTATCGCTTACATCAAAGCTTATCTGCCCTCCTATGGAAAACGTCAAGTTAAGGTGACCAAACTTTTCACGGAGCATGGAAACCATTTTTGGGCGTATGTTCTGAACCTGCAAATGAAATTTCGTCTTTCAATTTGTACACAAGCAAAAAAGAATATTGATATCACTTATAATAAATATAAACTCACAATTTAATTTTATGGTGTAAGGTATCTAACCTTGTCATATCTTTCAAATTCATCCCTTTCTTCTTGGCTACAGTTTCGCCCAATTGGTGAAACATTAAGCATCCCATTTCGGAACTCTATAAATGTACCCCTGCAGTTTAGTTAAAATGAAAGTATAAGTTTACAGTCAATAGCTTAAGATTTAACAAGGACTTCCACTCCACTAACCTCTTTATCGGTATGTCCAAGTCTGCGATATAATGAAGCGTAAAATTGATAAATTCCTGCACAATTGTATGCCAATCAGATCAATCTCAAGAACAACGTAATTAAGTTTCTGGGTGCTTTTTGTATGTTTAGCTTAACTGCCTAAGATATCTTCCAAATAAGGAATTTGAGAGTCATAGCATACAACAGAGCATGGGCTTTACCTTGAGTTTGTCTTCTCCAAGATATGTCTTCAAGCTCTACAGAATAAAAACGCAAAACGCATCAGTTTGGAGTTATTATTGAAAGAAATAAACGTATGCAGGAAAAAGGACAAGAAATGCAACTCTGTCACAAATCCTATCAGAAACAAATGATGCCTATCTGGCACCTACACTACGACCCAGAAAAAGTGATTTTAACTCAGGTATAGTGTGTTCAAGACGTTCGAACTGTAATAGAGGACAATGAGGTGAAACATTTATATGGATCAGAAGAAATCTGAGGGCAGAGAACTACTTTGTTCTAAGATGAAAGTACTTTCTTTAGCCACAAATAATTTCTTAAAAAATAAAAGAAGAACGATCCCCCTAAAAGATACCACAAAACAAGATTGTAACATGGAAATATTTATCTTGATTATCCAGTTTTTCTTTGTTCTTCAGGAGAAGATTTATATCATTACTGATATATATACCTTGCTCAAATTCTGGGTATCAGATCATTACAAATTTAGCTTTGCTTATTATTTCAGCCAAACACTAGGCCAGAAAAGGAACATAAATTTACTTGTACAGAACATTACTTTGACATAATTAATTCAAACATCACTTTCACACAATCGATTCAAACCTCACTTTTAGTCAGGACACTGACATTATGAATGTGAAAACATGTTTCATTATCACACTAAGCTGTATTATACCTGGGTGCCAATCAGCGTCCTGTCTTTGTGAGCAACAAGACCATTCTCAGAAAATACATAATCATAGTCATCCATAACTGCAAAGACAAAGACGCATTTAATACGCATGGCCAAGAAAAGATTTTCAAAAATAGTAAAATAGACAGCTATAGATGTGTCCACAATGTCCCTTGATAACTAACATTGGAGGATAAGAGTTGAAGGAAAAGGAACAAGGCGCCAACCTAGCATATTGTGTTATTAAGACAATCTAAATGGCCTCTAACAGATGCAACAAAACAGTTTCAATTGCATCCTAGGAACAAATATTAATTAACGATATATACGATGAGTAAATATCCAAACTTGAGCTCCAACAACTGAAGCTTGGAATTGATGTGTCATATGCAGAATTAAATGTTCAATACATTTCTAGTTTAATTTTTATACCATCTACAAGACTACAAGGAAAAAATATACACCTGTTTTGCCAAGCTGCTCCGTTATCTTTGAAAGGTCAGACCCTCCCACAATGCCTACTGTAACAACCTGCACTTCAGTAAGGCAATTGATCATTCACAAGAAACTAACAAACCATCCTCAATACAGATATACACTTTGGGCTGATGGGTTGCGTACCTTCCTAAGTTCTCGCATCAACTCCAACATTTCTGGAGTAACATCCTGGGATTCAAGCGAAACACATTCAATCAGAAAACTTTATGCACGTAAGCCGATTAAGGAATCTAAAACATCGTGTTCTTCAAATCGATAACCCATATGATCAACTAGTCCATAATCTAACTGAAAAATAAACAGTGATTTAAGAGGAAAAGTATAAATCAGAGATTCATACCTTTCTTGGAGCTGTGAGAGTATCATCAACGTCAAACAAGGCAATCACACCAGGCCTCCTAACATCCATTTACACTCAATCTAGTACGCAATAACACAATGCTCATTTAACAATTTAATCTCTTGAATTTCTGTGACCATCAGTAAATCCAGCAAGCAAACAGCAAAACGGAGATTACCCAGATGTTATAAAGGATTAAGATCCAAAACCCAATAATTATTTACTTACAATAATTAAAAAAAAAATTGATTGGATGGCCTATATTGTAAGCAACAGAACCAAAAGGTGATTAGAGACTGAAAATGGGGTCAAAATTATGTGCACCCAAGAAAGAAGAAAACTTCAGGATCTAAGGGCAATGAGGTTTTCAGATGATGAGCACTAATCAACGGAAACTGGCAAAAGAAAAGTAAATTACCAAATGAGAAGAAAACGAAAAAAGAGGATGTACCTTGTAATTGGATTAATGAGAGAAAGTGCAGGTTAAAGAATGAGAGCTGTGAAATGAAATGAAAGTTTGAGGAGCAGAGAATTGTCAAGCAGATTTTTTTCAGTGGCGGAACTTAGCGGTTATTTGGATTCTACAAGGCGATCTAAAGGGTCCCAGCAGAATATTACTCGTTTTTATTTAGTCAACTTTTGCGCCAGTTTATACCAAACTCGTTAACCCGACTCAATTCACCTGTTAAAATTAACAGTTGGGTGGACTGATTAAACGATCATATGTCGTTAACGAATGAATTCGTTAATTACATGTTAAATAACAGGTCATTTTGGGTTTACTTGCGATACCTGCTAGCACTGTTAATGGGTTGGATTTAGCTAATCTATTAGCTTAAGAGATTGTGTTTGAGTGTTCCGTTATCTTAATGAGTTAGGTTGAAACTGACCGACACCTAATAAACCGATCTGTTTACATGTCTACTTGTAAGTGATACATTTCAAGTTCGATTCACATGGATGTGTTGAGGTCGATACCTAATAAGTGATTGACTTATTGTGTGGCTGCTCAATTCTTTATCCCCTTAGATATAAATATAATTGTATCAAAAAATTGTGCTTCAACTAACATTACGGTTTTATCACTTATATTAACTGAAAACCTTGACTCTTAAGTTTAATAATCATAAATAACGACTCGGTAAGTTAGATATCCAATTATTACTCGTATGATTTAACATAGCAGAAAACTTTTGTAGGAGTTGTATTTTGTATTTATACGTAGAAATAACGTTTCCCTTAACTTTTATTTGTGTGGGGTTGCGAATTGCGATAGGTTGTGGATCTAGTTCGAGATGTGTACAAAAGGTGCAGAAATGAATGCAAAATGGGACATCTATGAAAGACCTTTCCCCCTCGATTGAACGGCTTCAGGGGCATCTTCCCGACACTCTCTGTAATTTGGCACACCTTGTGGTTCTCCATCTCGGTGGGTGCACAAATCTTTCTCTATCTCCGTTTATGTCCGAGAAACTAATCTCTGTGTGTTACTATGTCAGAGAAAATGGGCATACTGACATTTTGACACGTGTACTACACTCCAAAAATGAATAATCTTCAGGGGTTTTGGGTACACTCTGGCTGTGCCGATAAACACATGGATATGAAGCTCTGTTTTGAAGAAATCAATCGGTCACTACGCCGCATGCGGCGGCTTTGATGGAACTAATGTGGTGCGGTCAGACGGCTAGCCACCGCTGGATTCTTTGAAATCCCATCTCGAAAAGTTGGTATTTTCCAAGGAGAGGTATTCTTTACATGTGGAATACATTTGTTGACGATCTTTTCATTCGGGTTTGGCGGGTTCAATGGCTTACGTGCTGCTTTTCTTGATACTTTTGATTTGTGCTTGTGCAGAAACTGTGAAGATATTGCTTTGTCTTTTCCCGTTGTCCTAATGCCACTGGTGCTCCTCCAATTTGGGTGGAAGGTAGTTTGCATTTCCTTACCTTAACATTTCTGTATCGGCAAATTACGGTGGATGAGCCGCTGAATTTGCGTAGCTTAGGCTTTTTGTAAAAGTTTTAAGCACCTTTGCCTGTGAAGGATATCAAAGAGAAATGAAGTCTTTCTCGCCAAGCGAAACCATTGTATTCAATACAACGAACAAACCTGTTAAGTTTTACGGAGCTTTGCATGGTTGACATCCATCTCCCCTTAACAAATACAATCGAAAACTAACAACTCAAACTGTTTAAAGTTTCCCAATATGTGGACAGATTACTTCGTACATGTTGTGTCGTGAACTTGTGATTGCTTCCCTTTACGATTTTCCACCACTCTTTGTGCACCATTGATAGTGATGCCAGTTTTAGTTGCACGCTCACATAAAATCTCCCAAAGATGCACATATTTCATGATTTTAAATCCCTTTGTGCACCATTTATTCCGCTAATGAGTATGATCTTTAAGTTTCTTTTGTTCTAAAAATTTGATTTTAAAGTCTGGCACACATGCTTTTGCAGGGAAGATGTATGGGATTGGATCGTCTGCAATTAGCAGTCTAAAAGGGCACAACAAGAGGAGGAATAAATAAGAGCCTCAACGATTTCATCTCCCTCTTCGAAAGAATGTCTCTTGTACCAACTAATGCTAAAGCTAAAGACGCTAGAATTGAATGGTTCTGGTAGTTTCAGGTCAGATTTACATATTTCTTGTATCTGTATATATACTGCTTGGAGAAGGACGTTATCGCTAATAGAAGTTAGGAACGTGATGATACTCCTGAACCAGAATCCAGATTTGTTTACTGGCCAATTTCCAGAAAGAATACAAACTGATAAAAATATAGTTAACTCAACAGGCACAAGTTACAGTCATAAATAACTGAACAAGTGCCAACTTCCCAATACATACGAGTAAGTAAATACTGACCACGTACCAGTCACTGGATAAACGATGAAGAAAGAAATACACGAAAAAAGCAAAAACCTAAATAGAAGAGCTCTCAAAATACAGAAACCAACTCAAAACTCGAAAGAGTCACGAACTCCTTGTGTTTATGTCCAAATGACAATATTAAGCTAGATTAGATTGCTTTTATGGCGTAACAATTGCCTTAGAAAATACAACCGAAAGTTAGCAACTCAAACTTAAAATATCTCAATCTGTGGACAGATTACTTGGTACACGTTGTGTTGTGATTGCTTCCCTTTATATTTTTTTGCCGAATCTTTGTGCAGCATTGGTAGTGATGCCAGTTTTAGCTGTATGCTCACATAAAACTGACTTTATTGACTTTGTCTGATTGGAAACGTAGACCAGGGATTAAGGTAACTTTATTAACTTTGTCTGATTTGATTTCTTAGCTAGTTAGCCGGTCTAGAATTCATAAGTCACACTCACACCTCTGTCTAGCCAATTTCTCCAGTTATTGGTAGCGGACATATTAGCAAAGCTTGACCGACTCTCTTCAATTCCTCCCCAAATACTCAAAGTTCCCTTAGCAACCAACGTTTGTCTCTCACATAGTCACGCACAATCCACCAAAGGAATATGTTGCACGACTCAATCCACTGCAAACAGACACACTAAAATAAAAAACCCACCCTCACCATCAACCACCACAAAAAACACCCACCATTAAAGTTATCAAATTTTCCCCAGTTTCACTTGTGCTTTTTTGGAATTGAAGTGCAGTTCACTTCTCTGGAGTTGTTCTGTATTATTGAATTTGACGATGATGTAATAATCCCTTCTCCCACATTGGATTTCGCTTTTGCCGTCTGGCAATCCGCGTCCAGATGCCATTTGGAAAAATAAGCTTCTCCTAAAAGCTGCATTCTTTCATAGGAATACATTTACAGTCTATCTTTTTGTTTGGCTTTGTGGGGTTCAATTGCTTATGTGCTGCTTTTCTTATACTTTTGATTTGTGCTTGCGCAGAAACTGTGAAGATAGTGTTATGTCATTTCTCGTAGCTAGTGCCACCGGTGCTCCTCCAATTTGGGTGAAAGGTAGTTTGCATTTCCTTATCTTAACATTTCTATATCTGCAAATTAGCCCTCCGAATTTGTGTGAATGTCCAAATGACTATATAGTCTAGATTAGATTGCTTTTTAGGAGTAAGTGGGGTAGCTTGTCGTATGCATCATCAACACACTCTGCATTCATCAATAGCTTAGGCAGTTATAAAATTTTAAGTACCTTTTCCTGTGAAGGAAATTAAAGAGAAATGAAGCCTTTCTCTCTGAATGAAACCATGGTATTCAATACAACAAACAAGAGCTGCTACACAGCCTTTTAAGTTCTACGGAGCATTGCATAGTTGACATCCATCTCGCCTTAACAAATATAATCGAAAACTAACAACTCAAACTGTTAAAAGTTTCCCAATATGTGGACAGATAACTTGCTACATGTTGTGTTGTGATTGCTTCCCTATACGTTTTTCTGCCTATCTTTGTGCACCATTGATAGTGAAGCCAGTTTTAGTTGCATGCTCACATAAAATCTGCCAGAAATACACAGATGTCAAGATTTTAAATTCCTTTGTGCACCATTTATTCCGCTAACGAGTTTGATCTTTATGTTTCTTTTGTTGGAAAAATTTGATCTTGAAGTTTGGCACACATGCTTTTGCAGGGAAGATGTATGAGATTGGAGCATCGGGAATTAGCAGTCTAAAAGGCCACAACAAGAGGAGGAATAAATAGGAGCCTCAATGATTTCATCTCCCTCTTCGGAAGAATGTCCCTTGTACCAACTAATGCTAAAGCTGTAGACACTGGAATTGAATGCTTCTGGTAGTTTCAGGTTAGATTTATACGTTTCTAGTATCCATATATACTGATTGAAGAAGGATGTTATCGCTGATAGGAAGCTAGGAACATGATGATACTCTAGAACCAGAATCCACATCTGTTTGTGTACTTACCAATTTCCAGAAAGAAGACAACAAATTGATAGCATAAAAGTTAACTCAACGGACAAATTAATACAATCATCGTTAATTGAATAGGTGCCAACTTCACAATACATGTCAATGTTATATTTCTTAATTTGTAATTTTTGTTGGTAGAATTTGATGAATGATGAGCGCATATTTTACTACTTATTTTATCTCGAAAATTATATTTTCTTGTGATAAGTTGAATTTAGATGAAAGGAATTGCATGTTCTTTGTGTTTTTGTGGCAAGATTAATGAGATGGAAAAATTCAAATTAAAATTCTTTAATTTCTAGTCAAGTTAATCTCGAGAATGTTTTGAATGTCATTGATCTGTTGCTCTAATTATGAAATCATTTGTGTTTTGGCATATTAAGAGTTGGTCCATGTGCCGTTGGATTATGTGATATGTGATACATCTCTACCATTTAAAGGAAGTATAAGACTTGGTGGAGTCATCTGGGTTGGTTTTTTCTTTGTGGCTTGATCGAGCAGGTGGTGGCGGTGAGTGGTTCTGCATATTAGACAGCTCGGGAAGAAACGTGTTGAAGTACATGTAACTGAGAAGCCAGAAATTGGAATTCGGTTGGTGGATGCGGGGATGCTTATCCCTCATGCGAATAGCGACATGCATACTTTTAACATAAAATTGAGAGAAAAAGCCGGGAATTGGAATTGGCTTTTGGTACTGAGACAAAAAGCCGAGAGGTGCTCCGCAGAAATGGTGGTAATGTTCCTTCAGCTGCAAACAAACGCAAAGTGTCGTGCCAAAGCTCGTGGTTAATATATGAAATATAATGTTGATATAACATCGATATTTGGTGACATTACGTTAATATAAAGTTGTGTATATATAAGAGCTGTAGGTTTAATCAGCTTGGCTATAACAATGTGCTCTTCCGTTTATAATCAAGTTCAAATTCACTTACGTGTAATTAAGATAAATTTCACGTAAAATATCGTTTGTATTGAAAGAAAAATTATCCCCGAGAAGAAAGTACTTCATGCCCTTCTGCACCCCGGAGAAGAAAGCGTTGCAAATAGAGTAACTCTATAAGAAAATCTCACATTATTCACACGGTACGGTCGTATAAACACTACGAGTATTCAAAATGGTGTCACTTCTCTGCGGACAAAGTATAGGCCAGTAGGACCGCCGTTCAAAATTTCTTTCAGCTCCGAGAACTAATTTGTTGTGCCCTGAAAGCGGAAAGATTCTTCATGCAAGAAAACTAAATCCAAACGATACACAGCTTCAAGAAACACTACTTAAGTATCTTGATGGATTCTGGAATGGCGCTCGGCTTTTAGTTCTTAATAGCTATGTCCTAACCAGAAGCAAACAGCATCAGCTATTATGCTGCCACCATTCCTCAGAGATGCATCATCTTCACAATGCTGTGGAAACAAAACCCGAAAACAAAGTTCGAATGTGAAGAACTTAACTCAGTTGCAGGATTTGCTGAGGCTTAAGAGCATCAACATCTATTCTGACTACACCAATCCCTGCATTGTTCACCTATGTAGAGCCCAACTGTCTCATTATCTATTTTGTTTTGAAAAGAGAAAATACATTTAGAAAACTTGGCAACAAAAATGCTGCCCTGCCGAACACCTTAACAAAAAGTAATATTTGTCAGATGTCGAAAAGAACTTGAAGACGGAGTAAAAAGAATCCGATCTGGACGAAGATAAATCTTCCACAATTAAAAGTGGTTACAGATTTACGGTAAGCATAATATGTTCCAATCATTAATAGTAGTAGGTTTAGTCACATCTAGTTGATGAAAAACCACTTGATCTGTGCTGTGAGGCCAGTCTTTGAGGTTTTCACCCATGTCATTAATAGTAGTAGGTTTAGTCACATCTATGTCGAAATACTAACAATAGTATTAGTATTAGATTCTTCAATTTCTGTCAGATGCTGGAAGAGTTTGACAGAGTTATGATGCTATCATACTCCAATATACATATAAAAAGTTGAAGATGCTGCCCAAATACATAACATGCCTCTGCAACTTCTGCTTAAGTCGGTCATCTTCAATTAAAAATCTGTCACCTTAAAATGAGCAAAGAAGGAACCAGAAGGGCAATCATTGGGCAGCAATGCTAACTTCACAACCCTTGCAGCACCTTCTTCAACAGGCAAGATGCCGGCATTGAAGTTAATATCTGTTTTGACAAAGCCAGGGCAGACCGAATTGACACAAAGATTGGGGTACTTCTTGGCCAGAAGCCTTGTATATGCATTCAATGCTGCCTTAGAAAGTGTATAGGCAGACATAAAAGAAGGCCAACCTTTGCTTTCAAGTGAGCCTTCCTTGAAGTCTTTTAGAAACTCAGTCAACACCTCATCTACTCTCTCTTCTGTGAGGTTTTCAGCATCACTGAAAACTCCTTTAACCCAATCATTTCGTATGCAGTTTAACTTTCCCAAAGAAGATGAAACGTTAATAACTTTTGGTGAATCAGATAACTGGAGGAGTGGAATAAGCGCTTCAGCTGTTCTTTTAGCACCATAATAGTTTGTTTGCAAGCATTCTTCCGCTAACTCATACGTTTGAGTCATTACTTTATTCGAATCAACTGTTCCTCCTTCCTGCATTACACCAACCCCAAACAAGAAAATTGTTGATTACAGTGTGACATGCATATCAATTAAACGCAGAAAGTTTTCGGGCACGAAAAGAAAAACTCAAAAGGTTGCAGCTTGTCAGTAAACTTCTAATTACTTCCAACTCATATCCGGGAAACATCAGATTCTTTTACAACAAAGTACTACTGAGTGAATTCTTGAATGACATTTCACAGATAATTTCCTCTAGAGAACCCAACTAGACTTTGGCCAAACAATAGATAGGTCCAAACTTCAGCACATTGAAGCTTTTGAGAAAAAAACAAGTGAAAGACTTACCGCAGCACCCGAAACTATTGAAGCCCTGAAAGCATCAGCATCCACTATTGCTCCACCGATCCCTGCGTTGTTCACCTGTGACACCCCAACTCTTTCTATATCACTTCTACATCAGCCACAAACAAACAACTAAAAAAGTAAAAAAAACCTAGAAAATGCGCAATAAAAGGGAAAGTTTGTAGATCCTTGATGTTGCTAATGCCAAACCACCTAGCTTTGAGGCCATGGGGCATGGAACTTAAACCAGGAAAGCCATCAACCTTTCCCCAGTATCTTTTCTTGAAAATGTGAGCATATCTTGCTCCAAATCTGTTTGCTTGCAAATTTGACTTAGTGGGGTTTTTACAGAAGAACTTATGCTTACAAGCGCTTATGGTAGAAGTGTTTTTATCATGAACATGCAGAAATTTTGATGCTTTTTTTATAATCTGAGCATATCATGTTGCTGATCCGATTGTTTGCAAATTTGATTTGGTGGGTTTGATTTAGGACATATTTTGTACGATTTGGTGATGTTTGAGTTTGATAGAGCGAATTTGCATCCGGATTGTTTTAATTTTGACACCACTAGGAGTTACTTTATTCTTTTCTGGAAAACGAACACATATATTGTTGAAGAATGTAAGAAGTCTCGTGTCGAAAATTGACAACATAAAACAATTTAAACCGTTTACCCTGCACCTCATATCCTGTGTTCTAATCCCCAGATTCCCCAGTATCTATCTTGTACCAACAAATTATAAAATAAAATTAGATGCAAATAACAGAAACATTTTAAGAAACCAATTCCGATCGTACCAAGATATCGAGTTTTCCGAACTGGGTTTTGATGAATTCTGCCAAAGGAGCAATTGTTGCAGGTTTAGTCACATCAAGTTGATGAAAAACCACTTGACCTTCTGCTAGGCCTGCAGACTCCTTGAGTTTCTCGACAGCTTCAAGACCCCTCTTCTCATCTCTGGCAGTTAGGACAACAGTGATTCCATCTAATGCTAACTGCTCCACAACTCCCAATCCTATGCCTTTGTTTGCACCTGTCACAACTGCGTACCTGAAAACATCACAGAAACTACAAATTCAGAAACAAAAACACAAAACAAATGTAAGAAACAAAACACAAAATAGAAGAGAATTGAAGAAAATTAAGTGGCCACCTTTTTTTTGCTTCTGCCATTTGATGGGGAATCGATGTCGGATGAAGTTTGCTGGAACTGGGATAACAGTTTGAGGATTCATCTATAATGTTTGAGTTTTGACTAACCTTAAATAAATAAATAAAAAGAAGAAAATCGGACAATTATCGGGGACGAGCAAAAAGGACATTTATCTTTTCAAATTTGAAAAACAATTTTCTTCTAGCACGTGCACGTCCCTATTTATTTGTCTTTTAATTATCTTAATTTTAAAAACGTGCTGTCAAATCTAACCTAACCTCTTTATCAATAAAAAAAAAAAAAAACAATGAAATTGTTGTAAAAGTTGTGTAAATCAATACCCACATGTTTTAACCAAAGATGAGAAGTGAAGAAGACTTAAGAATAATGATATTGTTGTTGTTGTATGAAGTTTTTCAAAATGTACTCATTTCACTTTCATGATTCTTCATGGATATGACTCTATTAACTATTTGCGATTTTGTGATAATTGTTCTAATAGGATCCTCTCCGGATCTTTTTGGTGAGGATTCTAGGGATCTATGAATCGCGTCCGTTCATCGTACATCGTGCGGTCAGTTTTTGTCAAATACTATTTATGTTTAATTTTAAATAAAAATATTTATAATAATTATGACCACATGATGTACGATGAACGGACACGATTCACGAATCCTTGAGATCTTCACAAAGAAGATCCGGATTCATAATTGTTTAGGCCAAATCGCAGATTTTGTGACTTTGTGATTTGTAATGATTGTTTAGGCCTTGCTATTTCTTCCATCCCATTCTAAACCATTCTATTTTATATGGTTCCTGCAATACTTTCAATCTGAGCTTAATCACTCAAGGAGGAACCCTAATTTGGGTTCATGCCAAATATTCTTTATCTAGGTTATAACTAATAAGTGTTTATTGACAAGAAGACATGCATTGGCTCGGTCAATTGAATTACAGAGACGCAAGGCGACATTATAACTAATAGTGTTCGTTATTCTTCAAAAGTCTCGACTATTATTTCACTTCTAATATATTCCCATCTTTTCGAGACCTTGAAGCATCATATCTCAGACTTGCTGGAGATAGTTGAGCTGTTGAAGTCCGAACTAGTATGATAGCCACTGTTTTGTGGTAATTTTGATGCAGGTCATGTAATTTGTGTTTTCGTAATATATATTCTTCTGATGTTATTTTAGGAGGAAACTAAAAAGGGAAAATACTTTAAAATTCTACGTAATTCATGAAAGAAGTCCAAATAAATCTATAAAAAAAAATCCATACAAATTCGTCAAAATTCATATGAAATTATAGAATCTATTAAAATCCTTTAAAATTAGTCACTTATAAAAAGTTTTTTAAAACCTATGAAATCCAAATTCATTACACTCCCTTAATTAATTAGGAAAATGTAGTAGGCAACCAAGGCTTTAAGATGCTAGTATTTCATCTTGAAGAAAAATGTTGGGAAGATTAGAGTTTGTATGATACTCCATTTGAATTTTTAGATCCTAAAATACATTTTTAAGTTATACATTAAATACTTGTTTGGTAAGATTATTTTAAAGAATTGAACTAAAAACTAACTTAAAAATTAACCACTCCCAATAAATACAAAAAAATAAAATTTTAAACTCAACACACTACTTTCTCTCTTCTCCTCTCTCTATCTCTCTCTCGATCATTCCTTGCCTAACTCTCTATTTATATTCTATTTTTCTCTCTCTTCTCTATGCTTTTTCTCTCTCATCTCCCTTTTGTACATTTTGTATCTCTCTGTCAGTCCAATTAAATTTAGTAGTAATTTCATAATCGATAATGAGTTGTTGTAAGGTGTTTTTTCTTTTCTTTTTAATTATTAAAATTGAAAAACAATTTTGAATCTCATACCAAATAAGTTTTTGGGTCTTAAAGAAAATTTTTCTTAAGAAATGTTTTGAGAAATTATGAATTTTTTTTTATACGATACCAAACATGCTCTTATGTTTTTAGACCATTTATGTAAACTACATGATGTGGCGTTTAATGATTTTTGTTATTTTAGTAAAAATGTTAGGGTTAATGATTAAATTCTTTCTTTAATAATTTAAAAAAGATATCCAACCATCACTCAACTTCGTGAAGAACTCCATTCTATTTCTCCCTAGTTACGAACAAAAAAGGGGAGGTGTTGTACACTACACCTCATTTGTTCTATGTTCCTTTAGCCCTTTTTCTATGTGTTGGTGTTCTATATGACCAATTTTCCTTCTTTTTGACAACCAATATAGAAAGTAGCTCGCCCTATGTAATTCTTATTTGTCCCCGGACACTTGGAAGCATCTTACTATCTGTCATAGGCAAGAACAAACCGTTATTGGCTGTTGCACCTCTTTATTCCCAACAGATAGCTTGCAAAATGTGGTTTAAGTAGATCGTCTTTCTATCATTATCTATAAGAGAAAATTGTAGTAATGGTCCCTCAATTTAACTCAATTGGAGCAATGGTCCTTTAATTGATCAAAGTGTGCATTTGTGGTCCTTTTTGTCAACTTCATCACAACTTTCGTCATAATATCACATGTCACTGAATCAAGGGGAAACTATGAAAAACCAAATATACCCCTACAACTGTGACGCGCGTCCCTCAATACTCAACGCCATGCCTCCTTTACACCTTCTACACATCCAAAACGACGCTGTCTCATTCTTCCCCGTCTCCATTGGCAACCTCTTCCCTCCTCATCGATTCCTTCCACTACCGCCAATTCTCTTCTAGCAACCTCACGCGCGGCAAGGAGCCATGGTGGAAGGATTCCGTGGACAAACTAATAATTACCTCACAACCATGAAGCGCTTCCCTTTCCCTCCACACCACGCCTCTTTTACACCCTTTACACTTCTGAGGATCGAAGATTGGTAAGACTTATGAATTAGAAACCATAAAGTGTTGATTACCAATCCCCACTGTTCCAAAATTTGACTACATATCCTTTTTTTTTCGAGGAAATTGAAGCAATGGTCCCTAAACCAATTTCGATGTGAGGGTGGGATCTTGTTACACATGAGGTTTGGAACATGGAGTATTCCCACCATGGCTGCTTCATTAGTTTGTCCATGAAGTCCTTCCACCATAGCTCCTTGTCCTCCTTGGTGCGTGTGAGGTTGCTTGAAGTGACTTGGAGGAAGTAGAAAGAATCAATGACGAGGGAAGAGGCTGTCAATGGGGTAGGGAAGAATGAGGCAGCTCCTCTTTGGATGTGTAGAGCGTGTAAAGGAGGTTTAAATCATTTTGATGGAAGTTTTGACGGAATTGACAAAAAAGACCATAGTTGCACGTTTTGATAAGTTAAGGGACCAATAGTCACTGATTTTTAGTTGAGGGACCATTACTACAATTTCATCTTTTTGTTTTTCATATTTGCCTTTTGATTTAGCCTCACATGCGTGGCACATGACTCATTTTGATGGAAATTCTGACGGAGTTGACGAAAAAAACCAAAGCCGCACGTTTTGATGTATTAAGGGACCAATAGTTAGAGAATTTCATTTCAGGGACCACTGCTCCAATTGGATTAAATTTGAGGGACTGTTGCTACAATTTCCTCTACCCATAATTGAAGGATAATACTTGCATGCTTCATAGGATAATGCACATGTCACATCCTTCGCAAACAACGTATCTTCATTTTATAAATTCTATAATCGGAACCATTAAATTTCTCTTACAATAAATCAGCCATAATTAGGTATTCATGCAGTCAAACATGAGACTTCTCATATAAATATAGCAAACATCCAAATGTGCAAAACAACAGTTTATATATCTCCCTCAAACATTATATCTAGAACTTTTTGTTACAAGTTGAGAAATTGAAGAAATCCAAATCAATTCAACAATTATCCATTTTGTTTAAATGCATGAGATTTATAACTTTGGTAGCCATTGCAATTGGGTTTTATTAAGGAGGGAGAAATTGAACCTAAGATCTCAGATGAAGGGTAAGTTTTGTCTCTTTATTAAACGTTTGGCCTACTGTATATTCTTTTATTAAGCTTCGAAATATGGTTAAACCATACTGATTTGGAACATCTAGCAGATTTTCCCCGTGCCACAATAATAATGTATCACAGTTTGATTCTAGACGTGACACCCATCTGCGGAGAAATGCAAACAAACACTAGTATTAGAATCATGTTCCAAATATACTTATTAAGTTGAAATGCTGCCCAAACCGATCACTTGCATTTGCAACATTCGCAATCGACCATCTTCAATCAAAAGTTTGTCAATTCAGACTGTGAAAGGAAGAAGCCAGAAGGGCCATCACAGGGCAGCAATCGAGTTTATGTACCTTCTTTGACAGGCAAGACGCCAGCATTGGAGTTTATGTAATATCTGTTTTGACAAAGCCAGGGCAGACAAATTGATGCAAAAACAAGGGTACTTCTTGGCTAGAATCCTTGTATGCGTTCACTGCTGATTTTGAGAAGCCAACTCTCGCCATTTCTCATCAAGTCATTCACAACACTCGATGTTGACTCATCCATTCCATTTAAAGCTCTCTAGCGCTCTATCTCTCTTACATGAATTTCTCTAGTTGTTGAGGAAGAAGAAAGAAGAAAGAGGTAAGTAATGTAGAAGTAAGAGTACTCATCCTTTAGTACTCTTCTTAGAGAATAAAGTGAGGTAGTGTACTTTTCTTGGAGAGAAACCAAACACTCATCCACCGCTTCATAGTGCTGTGCAAAAGAAAACAACCGAAAGCAAAGTTCGAATGCGAAGAACTTAACACAATAGTAGGATTTGTTGAAGCTTAAGAGCATCAACATCTATTCTGACTGCACCAAGCCCTGCATTGTTCACCTGTGTAGAGCCCAGCTGTCTCATTATCTATTTTGTTTAGAAGGAAAAAAAATATCTAGAAAACTTGGCCAACAAAAATACTCTGCAAAACAACTTAACTCAAAATTAATATTTCAGTGTCAATATCGAAAAAAACTTGAAGACATTGTGGCAAAAATTGAACACGATCTGGACAAAGATCAATCTTCCACAATTAAAAGTGGTTACAGATTTAAGGTAAGCATGATATATTCCAATCATTATGTTTTGCAGTCTCAATTCCAGCTTCATGTATGTGAATATTGAGCAGGGTAGTACTGAAACACATACAATACTTA